CCTGTTTAAAGATCAGAGTTACTGGGATAAAGTAGACTGTTTCCTTCTCTCTGATTTTGACCAGAATCCCACTTTTGATCTGAAAAGCCTTTTGTAAAAATTAACCACGAATGACATGTTTCTGCAAGGAGTTTTCATTTTGTGAGAAAATTCCAGACTAGCTTTACGTGAGGACCACACACTCACATGGACCGAAGATGTTGATGCTGATGAATTGCTGCTTTCAGCTGTAGAATTTAATTATTCTCGTTCTGTACAGCTGGTGTTATTGTGTGGTGATGTGTTTGTCTTCTGACACCTCGGGGAGGAGGATGAAATGAATTTTCTACATTCACAGTGCCAAAGGGACAGTTTGAATAAGAAATGCTGCAATAAGACCTGCATGACTACGTCCTCTGGCATGAATGATGAATCCAGGTTCTTTAGATCTTGTTTTCTAGCAGCACTTACAGACTGGAAGCATTTCTTTAAAAAGTGTTATAGGAAAATTACGCTGAAGTTAAGCCTATTTTGACAGACAAAAGAAATTAACTAGTTTATATTGGCTGATTTCCAGCCTGTATTCCTGAAGCCTTTCCCTTCACTTTTACAGGCTGCTGGGGTCACTAATCCTAATAATTTCCAGTTTGTCAGTCAATAATCACTTACATGGCACTATGTCTTTGGAAATGACAGCTGAGACAAGATCTGATGTGCAGTCTTCCTTCCACAATGCCTTCCTAAATACCAAGCTGAGGCGGCTGAAAGGACCAAATACTCTATATCTGATAATGACACATTCACCCAGCTTGTCATAAAGAAGGTTTGGGGGAAGTTTATAGCGCTGCTATGCGGGAAATGACTCTACTTCGATGGCATCATGAAGTTGTATGAAACAGAACAGTCCCTGACATTGGACATTAATGAGAGTCAACATTTTTTTTGCTCTAAGGCATTTTAATTGTATCACAAGCAGAGGCCATCTGGCTTAAGAATGAATATTCAGTATCTGTAGCAGAAGCAGAAATACTTGAGAAGGAAATGGTACCTTCCCAGCTTCCAGCTTGGACAGTACCCATCACTAAAACTGGTGTGTTGCACAGTTGGCTAAATTCCAATTTGATGCCCAACCAATATCTTTTCAGGCTATTATTATCTTATTAATTAGCTATTGTTTACTAGTTTGAACTTCATGTCTTCAAAAAGAAGATCACTTTATGTTAAAACTTCAAAGGGATAACATATTTCACCACACTGCAGAGAACTGTGACAGCTCATCAGCTTTTATTTACTGAGAAGTCATAGGGGTAGAAATCAATTTATTTTTTTGAGGAATAAACATAATTTCTCTCTTGCGTGTGACAGGTGCAATCCCTGTTTATTAAGAACAGAGAAAACATTTGCAAAACAGAAAATTAAAGAACAAGTATCACAGCAGACAATAACTTTCCTGAGAAAGAATCGAGCTGAGAAAGAATGAAACCATCACTTCTAAAGGGCAGGCATTTGTTTCACAATTTTTATGACTGTCACTGGCTCCTTTAGCTTGGCCTATCTTATTTCTACAGGGATGCCTCTCACTGCAGCTTGTTGGGGAAAAAACTGATTTGGCTGAGATTTTTACTGAGCTACTGTCGTGGTTTAACCCCAGTCAGCAACTAAGCACCACACAGCTGCTCGCTTACCCTCCCCCTGCCCCGGTGGGATGGGGGAGAGAATCGGAAGCAAGAAAACTCCTGGGTTGAGATAAGAACAGTTTAATAATTGAAATAGAATTTAATAATAATCATAATAATCATAGTCATAATCATAATGTGCAATGAAAAGGAAAACAATAAAAGAGAGAGAGAAACAAAACCCAGGAAAAATAAGTGATGCAACTGCTCACCGCCTGCTGACCGATGCCCAGCCAGTCCCTGAGCAGTGATCGCTGCTCCCCAGCCAACTCCCCCCAGTTTATACACTGAGCATGATGTCATATGTTATGGAATATCCCTTTGGCCAGTTTGGGTCAGCTGTCCTGGCTGTGCCCCCTCCCAGCTTCTTGTGCACCTCCAGCCTTCTCAGTCGGTAGAGCATGGGAAGCTGAAAAGTCCTTGGCTAGTGTAAGCATTACCTAGCAACAACTAAAACATCGGTGTGTTATCAACTTTGTTCTCATCCTAAATCCAAAACACAGCACTGTACCAGCTACTAGGAAGGAAATTAACTCTATCCCAGCCAAAACCAGGACAGCTACGTATGAAGACCAGAAAACAATGTTTCACAGTTCTGAGAAACTCAGGCTGTTAATACTTTGAGTAAATTACATGTACATATCATGGCCTATTTACGAGACTGTAGGTTCATTTGCTTACGTACCTAAATATCTTGAGGCAGCTCTGAGGCGGATGTTGAGCTGACAGCCTTGTCTGCCACACTGAGCCACCTCAAATACGAGCAGCCCAGTGAGAGTGGGGGCCAGGCTGCAATCCCTAGGAAGTATTTGACTTGAATGCAACTGGGACCAGTGCTGGTGGAACTGCATTTAAAGGTAGTGGAGGCTCTGCCACAATATTTTGGAATTAAATCAAACAACATGTTGACTCTCTCCTGAGGGAATGTGATGTGATAAATCTGTGATGCATTTCCTCACCAGAGCTATCTGGGCTGTGTTGGCTCTCACGAGCGCCAGGTTGCAGTGGGTGAAGCAATTTCCTGCATGCGTTTAGAAACCACTCCGGAATACTTCAGGGTGATAAAAGTTAGTGAGCCAATATGATTAGAGAGCTATCACCTCATTTTCAATGCATTACTGCCATAATCCTAAAAGGAAGATTCATGTATGTGCACTCGGGAACAAAATTCCAGGGGAGAAGAAATCCATAATACCAACTATCAGTTAATATTATCAGACAACTGAATTGTCTTGTACTTGCTTTCTTACTTTTCTCAGGGGAAATTTACCCTAATGCACGAGACCAACACAAGACCCACCCAGGCTTGAATGCTGAATACTACAGCGCTCGGTACAGTGCTACTCAAACCGCCAGGCAAGCTTTCAACATGAGCTTGCTGTGGAGCTAAACATCGCCTTGTGATGCAGTTCTGCCAGAGCTGAACAGGGTGTACCTATGTGATGAAGTGCTCCTGAATGTGAGAAAGGAAGGCAAACTCAATCCCGAATACATAAACATGTCTTAAGCAATAAGCAATAAGCAAAGAGTAGAAGTCAGAGCTGTAACTTAAGAGTCTAAGGGAGGATGGGAAGAGTGATAGTAAGAGTTTCCCTCTCCTTTGGCTTATCGGAAAAACACATTGAGTGTTGTATAAAAATGTGAAAATCTCAACCTCGATAACTGAAGCATTCACTTATCCAAACCTGAAGTTATTCTGACTCAAAAAGCAATTGATGCATTTGCTTTTCAGGCAGTACACACATCGCACTTCCGTGCAAGTCAGTATGTCTGTCCATCACCTGTTGCAAGGCAGAATTCCTTTAGAGTGGTATCTCATCCAAAGAATAGGAAATGATCAGGAACTATCGGCGGCATTGCTATTAGAGCTGTAAGTATGAGATTCCTTCTTGTGATAAATCCAAACTCACTTTGTGTGCGTTCAGTGACATCCCGTTCAGTGTCTAAACATGGTCAGTATAATACAAAAACGTGTCCCTGGGCACATCAATAAAACTGAACTGGATTGAGTGCTGCAAACAAGAGACTCAATTCTCACTCTCAGACGCGGAAATTTTATCAGAATTTTGTGGCTCTAGAGGAAATGCTGAGCACAACCTAAACATCTACATGAAACTGTTATGTTAGCAAGGTGAAGTAAGTCCAATGAAAAAACACCACCACCCAAGACTGATATTTAAAATGGCAATCACAAGAAGCAAAACAAGTTTAATATATACGGTCTGGCAAAGCTGCATTCTGCTCCTTTAAGAATGCATTACATATTATGAGCATTCCTATTACAATTTTATTGCAATATTCAAGGCGTACTCAGAAGATACTATTAATTTTTTTAAATATGGGTTTATTTGTTTGCATCTTATTTTACAGCCACTCTTCCAGCCTCCAGTTTAATTTTTAAAATTAAAGCTAGTGATATTTCCATATCAAAGTTTAAAATTAATTTGCTTTGTGGGACACGCCCCTTGATCTAAAATACTTCATTTTAATTAGGACATTTAATTTTCTGTAATGGAATCAGGTTCCATTCACTTAATCCAAAACTACTTTCTGAAAGAGTTATAAGCAGTACATTTTCTCAGCACAAGTCCTCCTAAGGCTTGTCTGCATGAGGAGATTGCAGCTACGCAGCTAAACTGATTTCAGATTGATCTACTTACACCACTACAAAATGTTACTGAAGTTAATCGTAACTGAGTCTGCTCCACTTCTGGATCAGTTTTATCAAACAGCTTTAAGTCTCCTAATGCAGACCAGGAATAGATAATAGAAAATCAGGTACCATTACAAGTATGTGTTAGGATTAAAAAGCTAAATGAAAATTGTCCCACCTCCCAGAGCACGAGTGTCCGCACCCGCACAGCCTCGAGTATGGCCACTTCCCACCACCATTTTTGTACAGCTTCCTTCTTCCCTTTGCCCTCTTCTCTGTAACATGTTGCATACATGTAGACCATGCCAGATCATGTCTGCTTCTCATTAAGAGGACGTACAAGACATTTCCGAGGAACACTTTGCATATTCTGGCTCTGTGTTAGGATGATGTTTTGCCCCCATGCATGCACAAAGGCACACGGATAGATCAGGGCAGAGATAATCAGTGCATGGGCAGAGACAGTGAAAGGCATTCCCCTCCCTTACTGTGAGAGCTCGCCCCGTCCATTTAAAATAAGTGTTTGTTCTGGGGAAGGCCTGTTTTTATCAGTTTTGTACATCTCATCAGCACAGAGAAATGCAATAAATACCATACATTATGATAAACTCCAAAATACCTTCAGCTCCGTGCTGACTACAGCTCTGACAATGTAGGGGCATGGCAACAAAATTATTTAAAAAAATGCATACCTTGAAAAATAGCCAGGCTGTCATCCATTTGGCCACTTTTACAGCCCAAAAGACATGCTTGTAGAGCTCAGTATTCACTACTCCAGGGTCTACTACATTAGCAGTCACATGGCTTCCATTTGCAGTCAGAAGATGCTGTAGTCGATAGGTAAATAACACAAGGGCAAGTTTGCTTTGGGCATAGGCTCCATGGGGTGAATATGAACATCTGTATACAGGAGAGAAAGAGAGAGGGAGATGCACATAAAAATAATCAGAAGGAAAACAGACTTGCACAAATATCAAATGTACTGCATTTTGCAATATCCAGCAAACAAACAGCTATGCATTGAGTCGTCAGAAGAAACAGCTTATCACTAGCAGTTGTGTTGTTTGCTGGAGTTCTGGTGATTAGTCCATCAGACACCAAGTCAGATTTATGGCGGGGAAAAAAATTAAAATAAAATTACACGGTACCTGCCAGAATCTCTATGTCAAACTATTTAAACTAGAAATGCTGAGGCAGCAATCTCCAGGATATCATCACCTAGAGGCCCTCAAACTACTCTCCCCTTCCTCACTGCCCTCTTCCCACACCTACATACCCTGTTCCCACCCAGTAAATCCGTGCCTGATCATACTACTCCTGGTTATTATTATTTGTATTGCAGCAGGACCTACTAGTTTCTGACAAAGGCTCCTGTGTTGGGCACAGTACAGATGAGTAAGGTAAGGCAAGGGTTGCACCTGCCCCAGTGACACACCAGATTACGCACAGCTAAAGAGATGGATAAAAAGATGGGGCAAGGAGAGCGGCTGCAAGTGTTATGCCATATACAGCCTTTAGAGCAAAGACAGCTGTCTGGGTCTGTGCCAAACAGGAGGTGCGACGAAGGTACACAAATACTGGGAGTTACAGCAAAACATTACCTGTTGAGACTCCTGTGCACCTCTCTCATCTGGATGCTGAATCTGCCTTTCTTTCATGTCAAACTTTCTAGGAACTGCTGATTAGCTGGGTTTCACTGCATTCAGGCAGCAGTATTTCTTTTTTAAATAAGCAGGCTAGTTCTAGGCAAATTAGCAGGTATGTCGCTTAAAATGCTCCTCCCGACTGGGGCCTCAGCATCACTTCCACAAATTCCTATGCCATGACAATTCACTCTTGTAATTACTACAGCCTCTCATCTAACCTTTTTTGTGCTTAGCAGAACCAAAGGTAATTCCTGGCATTACAGACAGCTCATAGGCAAAGCAGGCGGGAGCCTAAAGCAACGGGCTCCTGCGGCAGCAAAACAGCTTTGGTCCCCATCCCCTTTGCCTCTGCCAGTGCCCGGGGAAGCGGCACTGCTTGCTGCTGCTGCTGATGTGGAGCCAGGGGTTAGGGTCTGTGGGGCAGCAGCTACTGCTGGTGGAGGGAGATAGAGGGGCACCCACCCAGGAGCAGATCTCTCTTTTCCAGCTCTCTCCTTCCCCCTAGTTGTTGTCCTGCCTCTGTGACAACCGCAGCTACAGCTCCATCCTCTACACCTTCTCCCTTAGTGCAGCAAACGCCCAGGCTGGGGATGCTCCTACTCTGCTGAAAAGCCTGCCTTCGGTTTTCTGTGGTTGCTACTACATGCAAGGTTTTTATTTTGAATGAATAGCAAATATGTCTCAGAGTTCTTTTTGTTATCTCGTTCTTGTTGAATACGTTATTTATGATATCCTGTATACTTCACCACAGAAAGCCCTGAATGCTAGTAAACAGGCTGACTCTCTGTAGAAGTATAAGGCTACTGAATCAATTTAACTGTTCGTGTTATCTGAATGGACTCAGAAAGTTGGAGACACAATGCTAAATCCTACAGCTCAGCTACAGGAAGTAAAAGACAACAGCATTGACTCTCCAGTGCATCTCTGGGTTTGTTTTTTTTTATTTTCTTTTTTTTTCCCTGCTCTATTCTTGTTCAAGCAAATCACAAACAGGCTACAAAAACATTATATAAATTGAGAGATAATGAAAAAGGATAGCTGATCATAAACAGCCCTTGCACCAACCAATGGCCTGAGCTGTAGCGTGCTGGATAACGTAGCTCCATCATCATAAAGGTATCACCTGCGCCTCAGGGTAAAATGGGCTATTTTAAGAATAAAGAACAATCACTGCATGAATATAAAAGTGACTTGCCATTAGTCAGGAAATTGCAGTTACGTTTTAAATTCAGTAACGTCCGTGCTCTGATCTGAGACACTCAAAATGTCACCTTATGCTTCATGCATATTTCAACCCTTTTAACTTGAAGGACCAGATCCTCAGCCGCTACAAGCTTCACTTGCGCAGCCGTGCAGGGCAGAGCTCACACCACCCATGGGAAGAAGTACTCATCTGAAGCCGCCTCCGGCAGCCAGCTGGCAGCCAACCCTGGCACTTCTCCATCGGTGCCACCATTCCCCCACCAGTGGAGAATGCAAGCTGGGGCACGGGACAAGCTTCCTGAGTTGAATTAGAGTGATCTTGTCCGGCAAGAGGCCCGCAGGCAAGCAGGGCTGGGGATTACTCTGACTTGTTGTGCCTGGGTCTAGTCTGGCTTTCAGTAACCTTCAGATGCCAGGCAGAGGAGGACAGTGAACCCTCCCCATGACTTCCCATTCCCACATTTTGCGTGAGTGCTGTTTTGACTTACCTTGTGGCAATGAAGCATGAACTACAAGGGCCGGATCCTCAAAAGCCTTGTACTTTGCATAGATATCTATGTCAGAGAAACACGAGTGCTGAGAAGATATAAAAAGCTATCTAATCAGCAAGGAAGCCTTTTATATCACAGTGCAGAGATGCGAATGATTTGCAAGGCAGCAGGGAATCAGACTTCAATAACACACTATAGATATGAAGGATATAAATTTGGATACACAGAGCAGACACTTTTGGCAGAACCCCTGCAATGGTTACCTGCTCTCTTCCCATTTTCTCTGTGTGTGCTTTCTGCTTTCCAGGAATCTGACATCAATGGACTACATAAGACAGAGGAATGACCTGTGATACAGAACTGACAAAGATTTTCGTTGAACAACTGTTTCGTTTGTGAGACCCTGTCTTACCAGGTTCATGTTGTTTAAATGTTACGTTGGAAAAAAAATCACCACTGGTTACTTGATTTCATACTTGATTTCATTACATCCAGTCTTGACTTTATGCATCAGAAAAATAGGAGCATGTAGGGTCCTGTACCATGATTCAATCTCCCATGCACATACATGTAGAATCACAGAATGGTTTGGGTTGGAAGGGACCTTTAAAGATCATCTAGTCCAATGCCCCTGCCATGAGCAGGGACACCTTCCACTAGACCAGGTTGCTCAAAGCCCCATCCAACCTGGCCTCAAACACTTCCAAGGATGGGGTACCCACAACTTCTCTGGGCAACCTGTTCCAGTGTCTCACCACCCTCATCGTAAAAGATTTCTTCCTTATGTCCAATCTAAGTCTACCCTCTTTCAGTTTAAAACCATAAAATTTGTTCCTCTTACACATGGAATTATCTGGCTTTAAAGCCTGTGCATCTAAATCTAGCCTCTCTTGGCACTCTATGATCTGTATGTACGTTTTCTACACTGAATGAAACTATAATTGTATACTAAATAAAATAATAATATTGACATTACGTGTTTCCACATTGCTTTCATTTTCTAAAGGTTCTAAAAGCCTTCTAAAATGAAAGTGCGTACAAGAGGCTAACTGAAGGACAGCCCAAAGCAGAACACAGCTTACCAGGAAACTGTGCTGGCATACCAGTGCACGTGAGGTGCCTGTGATGCTTGGACCCCTGAGGACACAGGGTATCGGTGCTTCACAGCAAGGCAGGCAGATTCTCAAGCAGAGAAACTCTACCTCCTAACTAGGTGGCCAGCCAGGCAAAAGGCTGGTAGCTCACAGCTCCCAGTGGTATCTGTGCACGCTGGCCAGTCGGCTAGAGAGCTAGGAGGTACTGGTGTTTGACTGCCCAGGGATCCGTCCTAATAAATACCGCCCACCAGGCTTGAGCTATGCCAGACAACACATGCTGTGGTATGGCAAGCCTGTGCACGGTCAGCAGCTAGGAAAAGCGGAGCAAGGACTTGGTGGGAAGAAGTCCAGTGGGAAGGAGCGGCGTGCCTGGCATCAGTAGCTTGGAGAAATTCATGCCCACCCACTCTTCCTACCATGGAAAACAGTCTCCCCTGGGGGATGCTCCCCTAGAGCATTTTGCCAAGTCAGTGCTTATAAAATAGGGCAACGCACAACTCACTAAATGGAAACTACAGGAGGAGTTAAGGCAGACACGATTTAATTAGCTGCTTTGAAATCTGGCCAAGAGAGCAGCAATATACAAGACCTTCTTCTTCCTTTTAAAATAATGTTTTATTGATTCTATACTGATGAATACAGGATCAGGATAAGGCAGGCTATGCATTTGCTGTTCAATTAGTTTTTAGCAGAAATTCTTATTTTTGACTTAAGATTTTTTGCAACATAGACTGACAAGTTTGAATTGTCATTACAAAAATTAGGGAGGAGAAGAGAAAGGGATTGTTTTGTATTTTTGCCAGAACAAAACAAGTAAGCATTCGATTCTGGAGTGAGGGAGTGCCTTCTGGTTTTCTGATTTTTTTTTTTTATTATTATTTTTTTGGTTTTCACCAGAAGCTGATTTTACCACTCATCTCCATGGTGCTGTCTCCAGCAGCAGTCTCCCTAGCATGCTGGGGCAATGTATTTGTACAAAGTAATGAGAAGCCAAATTTCAAACCGGAGCCTGCAGTGGCTAATTAGGTGCTTAAATATGGACTCAGCTGCCATCCAAGTTTGAAAACGGGATCCACGTTTAGCACCTCCCTTGGCAGCCAGTCTTACTCTGGTTTCTTTTCTGTCTGGCTTTAGTCAGTCTGCGTTCAGTAGAGGTCTCCCATTTACGTCCAGTGATACCATGTTTAGTGAAGAGCATTAAGTCAGCTCAGGGTACCCACTGAGTAACAGGGGAAACAAAATTGCTGCTTGGCACAGACCACTTCCTCCACACCTCCTGTGCACAGGCTCTCGCGCTGCTCTCGGCTTTTTCTCCAACGGTTGCTTTTGCATTGTGCACACATGTGGAGGAAGCGGATACACCCCAACTGAAAGAAGGGTGCAGTGACAGCACCCTTTCCCTTCCCCACCACATCTTGCTTCAACAAAAGGCTCAGAGGACCTGTGGCCACACTGACTGACAC